AAAAAAAAAAAAAAAAAAAAAAAAAATTAGCTGTGCCGCCGGCACGTCTTCCAGGATCTGTCGTAACAGATTCGTCCGAGCCGGTTAACGGTATTTGCGGTTTGCAAGATGCTACATGTCTGGGGAAGATGACAGACACGTTATTATCACCTCTGGGCTGAGATCTGCCCCAACCTGTCCCAGGATGCGGCTCTGCAGCTGCTTGCCGGGGAGTGCAAGGAAATTAGCAGCCGGAGGCGGCACTTTTCTTCTCTCTCTGCCTTGCCAGGCCAGTGGCTTTATTGGGGATCCATTGACTGCAGTCCTGGACACGTCTTGAGGAGGGCTAATGAGAAGGCTGGAATGTAGGAGAAGAGGAGGAGGAGGAGGGGGAGAGGATTTGTGGAAAAAGCAATTGTTGAGCAAATCATTTCCTTCAAGAGGGAAAGGAGGCTTTGGCTGCGTCTTTCCCCAACAGGCAAGTCTAGACGCTTCAGTGTCAACAGTTGAAGATAAATAAGATTTTATCGACTCCAAATCTGTTGGGACACATCCTCCTAGCGGTTCTGCTGCCCAGGGAGGGCTGGGTGAGATGGACTAGGCCAGGAGGTCTTTCCAGGCAGAGGATTCAGGTTATTTTTTGTGTCAGGTGGGGAAAACCAGCTTTCCCTTCTCATTTCCTGCGTGGTGAGGGCATTCCCAGGGCTGGGCAGTGGTGGCTTCTGGAGCCAGRTCTTGGTTCTCACTCAGGGTGGGCAGCGATGGATGCTGAGGTTTGACATCAACACTGCATCCTTGAGTTTTGTGGGCATTTCAGTGCAATCTTGTGGTGTCCAGAGCATTTCCTTGGGGCAGCAGCACAGGTTTGTGTCCTGTTCCTTCTGGCACCAGTGCAGCATGGTCTCATCTCACCCAAAAAGCAGCTGTATTTCAAACACATTCAAAGACCCTTTGTAATACCAAGATCTTGGGGAAACAGATTTTAGAGCTGCTAGACTGCTAGGGGTTAAATAATCTGACTTTTCTGTTCTTTGGAAAGGATTATTTTATTCTTTATTCCCAGTGCTSTGGACTTGCCCTGCAGGACAGGTGGCAGCAGCAGGGAAGGGAAAGAGGCAGAGCTGGCATTTTGGTATCAGCCCAAAAGTCGAGGGCACCGCTGGAAGSTGCAGGAAATTCCAGAGGAATCAGRTTCTSTGTGTTTCCACAGGYTCCAGGGAGACTGKCAGTGCTGCTGCTGCTGCTCTGGGCACCCAAAGAAACCCATGATGTTCCTCAAACACTCACTAACACCCTGCAGTGACACTTTCTGATGTTTTCCAGGAACAGAATCACCTCAATCCTACTGCACACATGAGGACAGACATCAGGGCAGAACAGGGACTGGGAACACAGGCAGGAGATGCCAGAGCAGGACATACCCAGGCTCCTCTGTAGATGGGAAAGGAATCCTGGGGTTGAGGTCTGGATGTGCTGGGGAGGTGTTCAGGTGTCCCAAAATGTTGTTTTTGTGCTTGGCAGCAGCATGAGTGACCCAAGCCTCGGCTGTGACCCAGCTGCCAYGAGTGACCAGTCCTGAGAGGTCAGTTTGGCCAAATCCTGCAAGGTGGGGAGGATATGAGCAAACAGAGCGAGGTTCCCCCAGTGCAGCTGTCAGGAACACGGCCATGATGCACAAAGAAGGGAAGCAGCGAGGCAGCCACACTGGGCTGCAGTGAAATGCCAGAATTTCTGGGATTTCTGGGATTTCTGGGATTTCTGGGATTTCTGGGATTTCTGGGTCTCTGAGCTCTGCTCTGCCACTGCCTCGTGTCACACTCGAGGAGCTCATGGTGCCTGTGTTCCCTGCAGGGTGCTGTGCAGGGTATGGCTGTGCTGGGAGGTACCACAGCCTCAGGTGATGCAGCACAGCCTGGCAGAGATKTGCACGGGGCTGGTAATTAGCAAATACAGATAATTAGCAAATACAGATAGCAGAGGAGAGAGCTGTCTGCTCAGGGACACAGCTCAGTGCAGGTTTCACAGAGAACATTCATTGCCAAGCTGGGGATGCAGGACCCCCTGGCATCCCAAAATCACGATGCTCATTGCCCTGGTGGCCACGAGCAGCCTGGCTCTGCAGGAATGGAGACACAGCACAGGACAGCTCCACGCTGAGAGGAGCCCAGGGCACAGCCTGGACTTTCCTTGCCCAGAATWATCAGCAGGGAGTTCCTTAAAAGAATCGTTTGTTTTTGTGGAGGGATCTTTGAAGGCGATCCCGGAGCTGTTGGGACACGATAAGGTTATCAGCAGAGGCAAGTCTGCACGGAGAGGCCGCCTTCCCCCTGCRGGGCATCACTCTGCTATTTAACAGAGATTTATCCATGTCATAACATGGTATAATGAGAGAATTTGTTACCAAAGAACTTGCCATAATGCACCTCTGCTCTTCCAGAGCAGTTATAGTTCCCAGGCATGTCGAGGGCTGCCCGGGAATGTCTACATGAAAAGATCCTTTGACAGGAGTTGTCAGTATTTTAACACCTGGCAAGGAAGAGCCCCCTCCAAATAACCCTTGTTTTRCCATGGTGGCTCCTCAAGAGGAGGGTGTTGAGTGCCATCGTGGTGGGWGAGTGGGTTTTGTGCTCTGCAGCCACGTGGGAGTTTCCTCTCTGGCCCRGCAGAGCGGAGTCACCGCGTTCTGAGTGGACCCCACGCTCCCAGCTCAGGCCTGATCCCTGGGAATCCCTGCTGGGAATCCCTGCTGGGGATGCAGGATCACACCCAGGATGTTCCCCTGGTCATGGATTTAAGCTGTGGTCAGCATCATCCAGTACAAGTGCAAAATTTTGGGATTCCAATCAAAGGCGATGTTTCCAAGCATCCTTTCTTGTTGGACGAGTCTATGAGCCTCCAAAAATTAACTTTTGTGGTCAGGTTTACATTGCACCTCTCACTCACCACCTTCCAGTGCCCACAGCACCTTCCTGCTCCCCCAGCACTGAGCAGGACCTCAGGACACCCCATTGCTGTCCCCCAGGAGCTGATCCCACTGCTGCTCACCAYCAGGAGCAGCCACTGTTTGCCTTGAAATCTCCCCAGAACCTCCCAAGACACTGCCAAAATGAGACAAAACTGGAATTGGTTGATCTCGTTGCCCTGTCCCAGTCTTGGTGGTGGGAGCACCTCRCTCATCCATAGGATCTGCTCCTGCAGGCAGGACAGGGGGACTGGGACACCACAAATCCTTCCTGCCTGACCCACAACCACACTGGAAAAGTGGGGGGACTGAGCCATCCCTGTCAGCCCTTGAACCCCTTCCCAGCCCCGTGCTGAGCCTCAGTTTTGGGCAGCCCCAGCTGAGGAACCCCCGGGCAGCAGAGGAGCAGAGCCTCCCCAGGCACAGCTGTATTTGGATGGCTCAGGACAAGCTTTAACATCCCCGCAAAACGCTCTGCAYGGTGGTATTTTTTTGGCACCGGGCGCTGTGTTGTGGGGATGAGATAAAATACCTGGAGCAGGAACATGCCCTGCCATGCAGGGACGGGCTGCTCCGAGCACAGGGGTGGGCTGGTGTAGAGCAAACACATTCTTTGCGAGGTGGAAAACAGCATGGCACTGCTGAGGTGCAGGGGAGCTGCACATCCCCTCACCTGGGCAGTTCCTGGAAGGTGAAGGACAGCTTCTCCTTGCCCAGCCCTGCTCTGGAAGGGCACAGGCTGCAACTCCTGGAGCTTCCCCCCGCTCCAAGGGCATTGTGAGAGGAGTTTGCCACTGAGCAAACCCCACAGGGAGGAATTTGATGGCCACAAATTATTTTTTATTCAGGAGTGACTGCGGGCGTTGCCTCAAGCTGTCACAGAGCATCCTCCTGCAACGGCCAGCCTGGGAAAGTGATCCCCATGTTGTCCCCATCATGTCCCATCGTGTCCCCATCATGTCCCCATTATCTCCTCCATGAGCCTCTGCTGCTGCAAAGGGCTGAGTCAGGATCAGGGCAAACCCATCCGGGTCAGGATTGAATTCCCAGGTCCTGCTAATCAGCTGTGACACCGCCAATGACACCGCCAATGACACCGAGCACGATTTTTTCATGCTGTGGCTGTGTGTGCTTTCAGTGCTCCTAGCCCTCGGTCGGGAGCCAGGGACAGACTCGGGAGCGTTTCCAAAACGGGCTGAGTGATGCACAAGTAAAGGTTCTGCTGYGTCTGGTTCATGTGGAGAGCAGATACCACACGGTGTGGGTGAAACCGGTCAGATTTCGGTATTTCCAGGGGAAAGGGAAGAGAARGCAGCCCTGCATTTCCAGCAGAGCAGTGGAGGAAGCCGAGGGTGACCAGAGRAACACCCGCCACCCCACCAGCGCTGCTCACCCCAGCCATGTCCCCTCTTTTCCAGTACTCCCCGCTGCTGAAGAAGCTCTACTGTCAGATCGCCAAGACATGYCCCATCCAGATCAAAGTGTCCAGCTCTCCACCCCCGGGCACCATCATCCGGGCCATGCCCGTCTACAAGAAAGCAGAGCACGTCACCGAGGTGGTGAAACGCTGCCCCAACCACGAGCTCGGCCGCGATTTCAACGACGGTGAGAGCTCCGAGCTGTCCCTGCAGCTCAGGGGACACRGCTGCGTGTCCCTCGTGTCACAGGCCTTGTCCTGGGCAGCCACAGACCTAACTGGASGTTTGTTTCACAGGCCAGTCAGCCCCTGCCAGCCACCTCATCCGGGTGGAAGGCAACAACCTGTCGCAGTACGTGGATGACCCGGTGACGGGACGGCAGAGCGTGATGGTGCCCTACGAGCCCCCGCAGGTACCCCCAGCCCCTGCCTCTCTGGTTTGGGCTGCTTGGACAGGGAGAAGGGCCAGAGCATCCCCTGGCACACCTAAAGCCACCCCCTGCTCGCGGCCAGCACAGGCTGCACCTCCTAGCCCTGTGAAATACCCCAGAGCATGGCCTTGGGAATGGGGGGCAAAGGGAGATCCCTTTCTGACCTCACAGTCCTGGTACAGTCCMCTTTTCCCTGCTGGGACCATCCCCACACCATCCCTGGTGTTCACCGGCTCATTCTGCCAAGGCACAAACGCTCTGCTGGAGGGTCCAGCCAAGATTCTTCATTTCCTGGGGACCCATCCTGCCTCCCCTCCTCTTCTTCACTCCCAGAGAATCCCATCCTGCCTCCCCTCCTCTTCTTCACTCCTCTGGAGTCTCATCCTCCTCTTCTTCACCCCTCAGGGATCCCATCCTGCCTCTCCTCCTCTTCTTCACCCCTCTGAAGTTCCATCCTGTCTCCTCTCCACTTCTTCACCCCTCAGGGATCCCATCCTGCCTCCCCTCCTCTTCTTCACCCCCCGAGGGTCCCACCCTGTCTCCCCGGGTCACTCCCCACTCATCACCCGCTCTCCCCTCCCGGGCAGGTGGGCACCGAGTTCACCACCATCCTCTACAACTTCATGTGCAACAGCAGCTGCGTGGGAGGGATGAACAGGMGGCCCATCCTCATCATCATCACCCTGGAGAGCAGAGAGTGAGTGGCTCCGGGGACAGGGATGGGCATCGCTCCCGCTGCGGAAGGGCTGGGGAAGGGAMCAGGGACCGGGATGGGGWGGCCCCAGGAACGCTCCGCTCTGCCGGCTCGGAAAAGGGCTGCAATAAAGGAACCCAGCACCCAGCCCGCAGCTGGAGCCTTCCTCTGCCCCAGGAACTCCTCTCCTTCCCCCGGAGCAGATATCGAGGGGCTCCGGGGCTCACTCAGGGTCGCTTCCCACGGAGGATGTGTCCGGTGTGTGCCCGGACAGGGTCACTGTGCCCTCCCCGGGGGATGCAGGGTCACTGACCCCTCTGCTCTGCAGCGGCCAGGTGCTGGGGAGGAGATCCTTCGAGGGGCGGATCTGTGCCTGTCCCGGCAGGGACCGCAAAGCCGATGAGGATCATTTCCGAGAGCAGCAAGCCCTGAACGAGAGCGCGGCCAAGAACGGCACCGCCAACAAGCGCAGTGAGTCCCCGACGGGGCGGGGAGGGGCTCAGGGCACCCCAAAATCCCCGAGCTCCCCAAATTCGCGCTCAAATCCACGCTCAGTGATGCCGYTTTGACCTTTCTCCACTAAATCTCATAAATCGGACCCTGCCCATCTCGTTGCAGAGCCCGAAGATGCCTGTTCGCCTCGTGGCCTGATATATTTATAATAAATAAACATGTATATTTTTATATATGTATTATAAATAACTATATATTTTAATATTTATTATATAAATAAATAAAACTATAAAAATATACATAGAATTATAAATAATATTATAACGATATAAATAAAATTATAGTAATATAAATAAAATTATAAAATAATACAAATAAAATAATAAAATAATAAAATAATGAAAATAAAATAATGTAATGTATACTAGAAATAATATATATAATATATATAGATTTGATATCATATAAATAAAATTATAAAAATAAATAAAATTAATTTATTATAGAAATAAATATATATTCCATAAATAAATAAATATTATAAATAAATATTTATTTATTATAAATAAATAACGAAGGGATACTCCCATACCAGGCCCCAGGGCAATGGTTTAACATCCTGCATGGCTTGAGGTTCTCCCCACCTTTTCCTGCCTCCACCAACACTCTGCCCCTCTCCTTTCCAGCGTTCAAGCAGAGCCCTCAGGGCATCCCTGCGCTGGGGACGGGCATCAAGAAACGGAGGCACGGCGAGGAGGAGATGTACTACGTGCCTGTGAGTGTGGGGGAGATGCAAAGGGGGTGGAACTCAGCTTGGGACAGAGGGGACACCATCCCCTCTGCCAGAAGCACCTTGGGGAGAGGATGGAGGGTGGGTCGGGGCAGCCGGGACCTTGGGATAGGAGTAAAAGCATCCATGGATGCACATGTCCAAGGGATTCCTGGATCCCAGACACTCCCTGGCCACAGTGACCATCTGTCTGGGTGGAAAAAATGGGAACTGGCCAGGTGGGATGGGAATAAAGGAAAATCCCGATCGTGTTCCCCGCTTCAGGTGCGAGGCCGGGAGAACTTTGAGATCCTGATGAAGATAAAGGARAGCCTGGAGCTGGTGGAGCTGGTCCCGCAGCAGCTGGTGGATTCCTACCGGCAGCAGCAGCAGCAGCTCCTGCAGAGGCAGTGAGTCCTGACACAGCCCCGGGACCCCCAGAGTCACTGAGACCCCCACAGTTACTGAGACCCCACAGTTCCTGAGAGTCCCCAGAGTCACTGAGACCCCCAGAGTCACTGAGACCTGCACAGCCCTGAGACCCCCACAGTTACTGAGACCCCACAGCTCCTGAGAGTCCCCAGAGTCACTGAGACCCCAAAAGTCACTGAGACCCCCCAGAGTCACTGAGACCCCCACAGCTCCTGGGACCCCCACAGTCCCTGGGACCCCCCAATTCCCCAGGCCCCTGCAGCCCCTTGAGACCCCACAGTCCCTGAGACCTCCACCATCCCTGAGAYCCCCACCATCCCCCAGAGCCCTACAGCCCCTCGAGACCCCTGCAACCCCTGAGACCCCCACTGCTCCTGAGACCTCCCCAGTCCCTGAAATCCCCACAGCCTCTGAGAACCCTACAGCCCTCCAGTTCTCTGTAGCCCCTTGAGACCCCCACCCTTGGCAGGATGGTCTGATGGGCTGGAGRGGAGCTCTGGACCAGAGCCAGGCAGCTCCACCCCACTCACCCCACTCACCCCAGTGTGTTCCCTCCCCGAACAGGAGCCAGCTGCAGACACCTTCCTCCTATGGACCTGTTCTTTCCCCCATGAACAAAGTCCACGGTGGAGGRATCAACAAGCTGCCCTCTGTGAACCAGCTGGTGGGGCAGCCAGCCCAGCACGGCTCYGGTTCTGCACCCAGCCTGGGCCCCATGGGTACGTGCTCCATCAGCAGGGCACCCACGGGGCTCTCCCTGCCTAGGGGTGGGCGTTTATGGGGTTTGGGCGCTGTTTAAGGGATGCATTTGCTGCYTCTGCCCAGGACCTGGAATGCTGAACAGCCACGCCATGCAGCCCAACGGAGAAATGAACGGGGGCCACTCGTCACAGTCCATGGTGTCCGGGTCACACTGCACCCCACCGCCACCCTACAACCCTGACCCCAGCCTCGTCAGGTACGGGAGGCACCCRGGACCCTGCCTGTCCTTCCTCTGCTCCTCGCTGTGTCCCTCGCTCTAACCCTCCCATCTGTCTGGCAACTGGGCAACTGGCCACCGGCCCCACCTGAGAAATCACTGAAATCACAGGCTGTTCCTCTCACTTCAGCAATCAAAGCCCAGCTCTCAATGAGTCAGAAACCCCACTGTCCCCACACACCTCCCTGGGAATCCATCCCTAATTAATTAGAAATTAAGTACACCCAAACCAGGGTCTGGTCCTACATGTCTCGGGGCATGTAGCTTTGTCAGTTTGCCCCTTCCCCTTCCTCCCAGCAGCACCTGGAAATGAATCCATGTGGCTCATTTCCATCAGGAATGCATTCACAGCTCTGCAGCTTTTTCATGTTTTGGCCTTTAAAAGGACCGGGGATGTTTTGACAGACCCTGGGCCAGCATCCACATGGGGCAGAGCCCGGGGCATGCCCTGATCCCTCTCCCCAATAGCTCGAGCCCTGAGACCCTCACAACCCATTCATATTATTTGAATTCCTGAGCCAAAATCTCAGACAATCAGGAGGAAAACATCTGTAGTTTTAGGAATGAACATAAAACCCCASTTTTCTTTGACCTCAGTGGCAGAGRAGCTCTCCATGTCCCCCACCTGACACCATCTGTCCCACAGAGATGGGACATAGCTGTTGTTCATGAGAACTTAATGCCACTTTATTTTCCCAACTTTCTCTGCAGTTTTTTAACAGGATTGGGGTGTCCAAACTGCATCGACTATTTCACCTCACAAGGGTTRCAGAATATTTACCACCTGCAGAACCTATCCATAGAGGTAAATGCTTTTGGGGAGATCTGTTCTTACCACTTGTTTCCAGCAGCTGTTGTTCTGAAAAGCAAAACCAAAACTGTTTTGGAGGAAGGGAAATCTGTGCCCCAACCCCTCACACAGAACAGAATGTGTGCTCCCAGGGCTGATGTCTCTCATTCCTGTCCCCTTGATGGTCTTTCAGAGGTAGAAGTAGCTCAGGCCTTGGTAAAAACCACAACCAACTTCAAAAAACCACAACCAGTCTCAGCTGCTTCCTCCAGACTCTCAGAAACAACAGAGATAAATCAAAGATCCCCAGGCCAGAGCTCAGGGAGGATAGATTTTCCACCTAGCACAGAAAACACAGCTGAGGTGCTCAGCAGAACACCCAAAATCCCACAGAGCCAGCAGGGACACCCCACTACAGCTCAGGGAGGTTTAATCTGATCCCATCTCTTTCCCTGCTGATCTTTAAGATGAAAGAGGTTGAAATAAGGGAGTTCAGCCCAAAGCATTTTTATTAAGAGCAGTATGGAATGAAATAGCTCAGGTCAGAAAAAGCTGYCAAAAAAAGCGTGGAGAGGATGCTGAAAGTACCTATGCTGCTGCCACACWGTGGTGCTGGTACCAGGGGTGGCTCCGGTGCCAGGGGGACAAGAAAAAGGAAAACAAAAAATAATCCTGAACCCTCTGAGCTGTGACAAGCCCTGTAAACCCCAGAGTTGGTGTTTTGACTGAGACAGCTCCTGCCCACCCCCGTTTCGCCCCAGGCTGGCAGCTCCACATCCTGTGGGAGAGGCGATGATTTGTCACTGGTGGCTGGGGCCAGTTGTGTAACCTGAGCCTGGTTTTGGACCGTTTGCTGAACTAACTCTGTGACCGTCTGTCAGCTGCCCAAGGAAATGTTTAGGAATGGCCAGAGCTTGTGTTAGGGCAGAGCTGTGTGTCTGAGTCGGCGTTTGCAGCTACTAATTGCGTACTCACTGTCTGCTCCAGTTAACGCTCCCGTGAGTCTCTGTGCTGGCATTAATAACGCGGATCCCTGGCAGCTCCCTGCTGTGCTGTGTCTGTGCTGGCACAGGTCCCCATTCTGAGGTCACCCACCTCTGCTGGCTTTGTGAGAGCTGCTGTCACCCCCTCAGTGCTTGAGGCGGGTGCTGCTCCAGCCTCCCAGGCCAGGAGCGGAGCAGAAACCATCCCAAGTGTGCAGGAAAAAGGATGCTGTGCCACCTGTGCCAAGGGGGATGGTCCCCTCCTTCCCTCCCATTTCCACATCAGTTTGATGTGAACCCCTCCCAAAACAACCACCACAAAGTCTCCAAGCTGGCAAAGCTGTGGCTGACAAACGAGAAATAAGCCAGGGGATGGTGCACCCATGGCCTTGGTGGGAGGTGCAGCCCCACTCTACTGGGCACAGTGCCCATGTGTCCCCCCAAAATAATGACCTGGGTGTGCAGGGCTGGCTCCTGCTGGTACAGTCACACCCCTGTGGGCCGTGCCTCAGCAGCGCTGTCCTTGCAGGATCTCGGAGCACTGAAAATCCCAGAGCAGTACCGGATGATCATCTGGCGGGGTCTGCAAGAGCTCAAACAGAGCCACGACTACGGGGCCCAGCAGCTGATCCGCTCCAGCAGCAACGCCTCCACCATCTCCATCGGCAGCTCGGGCGAGCTGCAGCGGCAGCGGGTGATGGAGGCCGTGCATTTCCGCGTGCGCCACACCATCACCATCCCCAACCGCGGCACCGCCGACGACTGGGCCGACTTCGGCTTCGACCTCCCGGACTGCAAATCCCGCAAACAGTCCATAAAGGAGGAGTTCACGGAGGGAGAGATCAACTGAGGGGCTCCGGAGGCGGCAGCGAGACAGCGGGGGGGGTGATAAACCCCCCACTCGAAATGTATTTGCAGCCTTGGGCGCCTGGAGAAGGTTGATTTTGTTATCCAGGGGAAMTGCGGGCCCTGAGCCGGGCAGGAGGTGCCTGCCCTGGGGAGGAAACTGGAGGTGAAGAGGAAGAGGAGGAGGAGGAGGAGGGCAGATGAGCCAGCTCAGCGCTGGAGYGGGATTTCTGCCTGCCCGTGGCACGGGAGGCACTGGCTGGTTTGTGTTTTCCTGGAGCATCCCCGCATCCAGGGGTGTGAGGACAGCACGTTTTTCTCACCCCTGCTCACTGTCTGTGTTCTCCGTGCTGTCCCAAACTTTGGGCTTTGTCACTGCACCATGGACTCAGCCCTGACCTGTGCARGCATCACCAGAGACTGCTGCGATGCCACATCCTGCTTTTCCATGGACTGCCACACACATCCCTTCCCTCAGCCCTCTGTAGAGCCAGAGAGAACCTGTTTGTCCGTTCCCAACGTGTTCTTGTACTTCAAGGTTGGTGTATATAAACAKAATGTACATACAGTAAACTCATCGTGCTGTAAGGAGAGAGAAAGATTTATTTTCATGTAAGCTATAAAAATTGATACTGACTCCTGAGACACTGCAGTGTCAAGTAAATTAATTTCATGTTGTAACATGTGAACATGCAGAGAATCCTGTCTCCAGCCTTATCTATTCGAAACTCAATYTTTTTTCGTCTTCTGAATCTCTTGCATGCAATTGCGGAGGAGGGGAAAATCAGTGATTGTCCTGGGAAGTCAGAGGTCTGGATAATCCCTCCCTGCTCCCCTGGGGAGTTTTGCTGACAGGTCAGACCTGACAATACAAGCTGGAATGCCATGGTGTGAATTCCATCCTTTGGGAGCACAGCCTGGAYTGGCTGACCAGTTCTGTTCCATTCCTGGTCACTTTTCCCAGCTGTAATTTCTCTGTTATTTCAGGCTGGGAAAAAAACCTCCACAGAAAGCAGAGACACAAATAGGTGTGTTTTCTCCCTGAATGCTAATTCATTACACATTTGGGAGGGCAGTGTCCCAAAAAGGTTTTGGAAAGGCACAGGAAGTCACAGGAGCTGTTGCTGTGGGAGGGAGGGTGGGCAGGGAGCTGGTCCCCTCTGTCCTGGATCACTCGAGATTTTGGGCAGCCTGAGGGAATCTGTATGGAAACAATGCTGCCTGTACATTCCCACTGCAGCACCCTGTGCCTCTGGAGSCTCCAAAGGCAGCCCTACAGCTGCTTCCAATCACCCCAGCCTGGGGAAAGGGCTCCATCCCCTTCCCAAAGCCCTGGACCCTCTAAGCAAGAGAACAGCTCAAGTGCTAGCAGGGCTCAGCCGAGATGTGCCTTCTCCTCCAGGCAGGCAGTGGCTGCTCCCTCTGCAAGGGGAGCAGGAATGTGATCCCTGGATGTGTTGCACTGCAGCCCTGAGCCCAGGACTCTCCTCCAATGCTCTGTYTGGGTGTCCCACAGCAGCTCTGAGCCTCCAGCACACAGAGGTGACCTCTTGTCCTACCCCTCATGTCCCTCGGGTGCTGGTGAGGCACAGGAGCAATGGCCATCCCACCTCTCACACCACAGGGATTGGGAACCGGATTCCTTTGGGATTGGGAACTCCCCTGGTGTGTCTGACACTGAACCCATGTCCCCAGGCAATGGCTCAGTAAAGCACTTTAATGCTTTAAAGCTTTTGCAACMATCACTCACATTTCCAGCATTCCCAGAGCTGTTCCCAGCAGTATTAACGGATCACTCCGCRGTAGGAATTGTACTTTTTTGTACTGTCATCTTCGGAAAATGTGTTATTTTTATAGCTGAGGTTTCTCTTTTGTTTTGGGGGTTTTGGGGTTTTTTTTTGAGCACATGGGGGAATTGCTGGATCAGGCAATTAAAAGTGGACAGAAAGTGCCCTCGTAACCCAGAGCAAACCTTCACCTGCAGGACCTCAAAGGGCCTGAAGCTGCTGASACCAAAAAGAAACCCACCAGTGAGYACTAAACTGCYACAATGAGTACAGAGAGACAAAAGGAGGCTTCTGGATACATAATTTTTTTCCCCTCAATAAATGGCTAAAAATAGTGAATGAAATGCAGAACAAGCATTAAATCACACTTTTTCAGAGCTTGAAAAATTACACTGTTAAAAACCATTTCCCAAAGAGAACTGTCTTAATTTACAAATGTCACCACTATTTCTAGTTTTAGGARCACTTATTCCATAGGTAGGAATTGAAAATTGATTGAACTAAAGGTTCTTGCAAGAAGTTTACAAACTAATGCCTTGAAATGGAAGAAGGTAAAAACGTTGTCATAATTCAATAAAAATACAACAAAAAATCTTTCAGAAGATCTTGAAAACTGACAGCCAGACAGGAACAGTCAGAGCCACATGTCTGCAGAGAGCTCCACACATGACAAAAGTCCAAAGATCCTGGCAGCAACACCAGCTGGACTGTGGCTCTGCTTTCTGCTGGGGTCTGTGTCTCAAACAGGATCATGGAATCCCAGACTGGTTTGGGTGGAAGGAGCCTTAAAGACCATCCAGTCCCACCCCCTGCCATGGGCAGGGAYACCTTCCACTATCCAACCTGGCCTTGAACACTTCCAGGGATGAGGCAGCCACAGCTTCTCTCAGAAATCCATTCCAGCCCCTCACAGCCTCAAAGRGAATAATTTCTTCCATATATCCAATCTAAACACACTCACCCCCATATTTTTTTGAGCATTACATCACCTCAATCGTGGGAAGACACTTGCTTGTGATTTCTCCTCCAGAYAGGCAGTGGCCATTCCCTCTCCAAGGGGGAGCTTCTCCCTCATCCCAGCTGTTAGCGGTCCTACACCACCCTGGCTGGCCCAAGAAGCATCATTTTTCTCCTGGGAAAACAGAGCTCCATGGCCAGCAGCACTCTCCAGGAGGAAAAGCCACCTGGACCAAACCACACGCAGGCTCAGGAATTTCTTGCAGGCTCAGACTGATGTGGTAGAAATCCTGCACCATCCCAGCACCCAATGCTCCTGGTTCAGAAGTGCCTTTGTCTGCTGGGCACTCCCAGTGGGAATGTAAAAACCTCCATCCAGGCTTATCCTGAGGCCACTAGGTGGGAAGTCCTTGCTGTGTCCCCACTGAGTGGTTGTCACACAGCTGCAGCCTTTGGTCCGGCCGGATCCGCGGCACCGCTGTGCAGATCCACGGCAGAGCCRTTCCTCCAGGACTGCTCAGCTGCTGCAGCCACCTGGATGGTGCACAGGAACTGCTCCTTGGTGATCACAGGGAGCTCCTGGCCTGTGGGACAGAACAAAGCACTGGATGGAACCCATGGTCCCCTGCCAGCAAAGATCCTGGTGCTGGAGCTGCAGGATTCAAAACAMTTCAGCCCCCTCCTCCTGTCAGTGCAGCCACAACAACTGAAAACACTCAAACAAAAATCTCTTGGAGTAGACAATCTTTTAAAGTCTCTTTCTACCCAACCCACTCCGTGATTCTGTGATTTTTGTTCCTTCTGGACAGCCAGGATGACAGCTGAGGGTCTCCTGTCTGTCACAAACAGCTGTTTCCATCACAAAGGACAGTCAGGTCCAAGGCAGTTTCCCCTCCCAACTCTCACTTCTTCCCASAGTTTCAGATCAACACTCCATCCCTCACTTATCTCCATGACCTGACAGTGCATCCCCCAACAAAGCCAATCCAAAGTAACATCATCCACTCATTTCACCTTTCAGAGTTCTCAGGAAGTGCCTGATGAGCTCCCTGTGTGCATCCCTGTAGCGTTCTGCCTGGGTTTGGGGACAGATGGACACTGAAGTCCCGTGCTCTGTGATACCCAGAGGGTTCTGGTTGTCCACCCGTAATGTCCCTTGAGATCCATGAACCTGAGGGAAGGAGCAAAACAGGGAAGAAATGATGTTTTTAGGTTATGACTTCTGACTTCACACACCTGGCCAGGTTAGAGAAGCCCTGGTTTGTACAGCCAAGACAAAAGAAGGTTCTGAAATGAGGAGTCACACCTGTCCCACCCCTGGTATGGCTCAGACACAGCAGAAATACCAGGGTCATGCTGTAGTACAGCAGCTTCTGCCTGTCTGGTATCTCACCAGAACAAAGCCCTTTTTCTAAGTGTTTAACAGAAATTCCTCCCCAAGTCCACCCCTCACAGTTGTAATTATTCATGACTGTAGGAATTTACACTTTTTTCCCCTTAAATATGCTGAGTTCCTGCTACACACCTGAAACTACCCAAGGAAAGGACAAATGAGATGTGCAAAATTTCAGCTTCAGGAGGGCTGAACCAGTTCCTGCCCTGGTATGAACCATGCAGCTCATAGCACCACAGAATGCATGGAAGAGAGGGAAAATTTGGCTAAGAAAAGAGAAAGTGGATTGTGGATTCAACAAGGACAAGAATCCACTGCTGCTGAGGTGACTGCCCAACAGCTGGGCATGGCACTCAGAGGTCTGATTTGGATGATAAGGTGGAGACTGGTCAAAGGTTGGACTCARTGATYCTSAAGGTGTTTCCAACCTCAWTGRCTCYGTGATTCTGTCASAGRGGKKTTKKGRRAMRYG